CCACCTTCTCTAAATGGTGATGGTCTAACTGATGCTGTAGTCCAAATATGGTTACAAAGATTTCTCATCCAGGGGACTGCCAGCGTCTTGTGGAAATAGTGGGCACTGTAGAATCAGCAGGTCAGCAGTCCCACCAGGACAGAAACTCACCTGATTTTCTATTCAGAAGCAGCACCTGAGGCAAAGAGGATTTTCTATTAAAGGACATTGAAAGTAATTTTAATCTCTAAAGGACTAAAATTTATTTAACTCTGGTAGATTTACATACTATTTATTTATCTTTGCACTGTGTGGGAGTTATTTACTTATGTAATGTCAAACATGTGCTCCCTTGGCTTATTTATATGCTTGCAACTGCAAAATAGTTCACCATTAAGATTTGGCATAAGGAAGAAAAATAAAGCTGGAGGCATCATGGTCCCTCATTTCAAACTATATTAGAAGGCTATAGTAATCAAAACAGTATGGTATTGTATTTAAAAAACACACACAGCAATCAATGAAGAGAATAGAGAGCCCAGGATAAACCCACACATCTATGATAACTAATTCACTACCAAGGAACCAAGAATACACAATGTGAAAAGGACAGTCTGTTTAATAAATGGTGTTGGGAAAATTGGACAGCATGTGCAAAGAATGAAATTGGACCATTGTTTTACACCATACACAAAAATTAACAAAATGAATTAAAAACAAATATAGAACCAAAAACCATAAAACCCTTGGAAGAAAACATAGGCTGTAAGCTCCTTGAAATCAGTCTTGGCATGATTGTTTTGGATTTGACAGTAAAAGCAAAGGCAATAATAGTAAAAAACAAATGAGTGACACCACACAAAACTAAAAAGCTGCAGAGCAAAGGAAACCATTGATAAAATACAAAGACAACCTTCAGAATGAGAGAAAATATTTGCAAATCATATATCTGATAAAGATTTAATATCTAAAATATATAAGGAGCCCATACAACTCAGGAACAACAAATAAGTCCAATTAAAAAAATGGGCAAAGAATATGAGTAGACATTTTTCCAAAGAAGACATACAGATGGCCAACAGGTACATGAAAAGATGTTCAACATTATTAATCATCAAGGAAAATCAAAACTACAATGATATATCACCTCACATCAGTTAGTATGGCTAATATTTTTTTAATTAGTTTTTATTTTTCAATTACAGATGACATACAATGTTTTATTAGTTTCAGGTATACAACCCAGTGATTAGACATTATATAAGTGATCATTTCAATAACTCTTGTACCCATCTGACACCATGCATAGTTAATAGAATATTATTGACTATATTTTCTATGCTGTACTTTACATCCCCATGACTATTCTGTAACTACCAACTTATACTTCTTTTTCTTTTTTCAATGCTCACCTGAGGACACACACATTGATTTTAGAGAAGGGGGAAGGGAGAGAGACAAGGAGGGAGAGATGCATTGATGTGAGAAAGAAACATCGATCAGTTGCCTCTTGTATGTGCTCCTACTGGAAACTGAATGCCCCGCCTAGGTATGTGCTGACCAGGAATCCAAATGCAACCTTTCGGTTTATGGAATGATGCTCCAGCCAACTGAACCACACCAGATAGGAACCAGTTTGTACTTCTTAATCCCTTCACCCTTTTCACTTATGCACCCAACCATCGTCCCATCTGGCAACCATCAAAATCTTCTGTGTATCTATGAGTTTGTTTCTGTTCTGTTTGCTCATTTATTTTTCTTTTTAGATTCAAATGTTCATAGATATGTATGTATTGCTATTTTATTGTTCCTGGTTTTGATTTTTTTCTTCTTCTTAAAGAAGCCCCTTTAACATTTCATATAATACTGTTTTGGTGGTGATGAACTCCTTTAGCTTTTTCTTGTCTGGAAAGCCCTTTATCTGTCTTTCAATTCTAAATGATAGCTTTGCTGGATAGAGTAATCTTGATTGTAGGTCTTAACTTTTCATCACTTTGAATATTTCTTGTGAACCTTTCTGGCCTGCAAAGTTTCTGTTGAGAAATCAGTTGACGGTCTATGGAAGCTCCCTTCTAGGTAACTAGCTGCTTTTCTATTGCTGCTTTTAAGATCTCTCTTTGTGTTTAACCTTTTGCATTTTAATTATCAAGTGTTTTGGTGTGGGCCTCTTTGGATTAATCTTTTTTGGGACTTGCTGTGCTTCCTCACCTTGTATGTCTACTTCCTTCACCAGTTTAGGGAAGTTTTCTGTCATTTTTTTTAATAGGTTCTCAATTTCTTGCTTTCTCTCTTGTCCTTCCAGCACCCCTATGATGCAGATGTTGAATGATGATATGCTTGAAGTAGTGCCAGAGGCTCCTTACACTATTCTCATTTTTTTTTTCCAACTCTTTTTTCTTTTTGCTGTTCTGATTGAGTGTTTATTGCCTACTTACCTTCCAAATATCTGATTTTATCTTCTGTTTCATCTACTCCACTATTCATTCCCTGTAATGTATTTTTTATTTCAGTTAGTGTATCCTTCATTTCTGACTGGTTCTTTTTTATGGTTTCCATGTCCTTTTTTCTGCTGTTGAAATTCTCAGTAAGTTCATTGAGCATCCTTATAACCAGTGTTTTAAACTCTGCATGTAGTTGATTGCTTATGTCAGTTTTGTTTAGTTCTTTTTTTGGAGTTCTGTTCTTTCATTTGGGACTTGTTTCTTTGTCTCCTCATTTTGGCAGCCTGCCTGTGTTTGTTACTATGTGTTAGCTATAGCTGCTGTATCTCCCAGGTTTGGTAGAGTGGTCTTTTATGTAGTAGGTCCTGTAGGGTCCAGTGGCACAGCCTCCATGTTCACCCAAGCTGGACACTCCAGATGTACCCCCCAACTCTGCAAGCTGTGTACACCCTCTCATTGTAGTTGACTCTTGATTGCTATTGGCATATCAAGGGGAAGGATTTAATGCCAAGCCAATGGGCTGTAAGGACTGGCCGCAACCGCTACTGAGGATCAGCTCTGCAGGGGCCTTACCCCATGGAGTAGGACTACTTTAGTGGGGCCCTGGTGCCTGTTGAGTCACCCCTTGAGTCTGTCACTTGTGAAGTTGGTTAGGTGGTTCTTCAAGGTAGTCTGACACTGTCCATCAGGTGTACTGGCTCTGGGTTCTCCTAGGAGGTCTAGGTCAAGGTCAGCCATTACCTGAATTCTTCATGTGTCCACCTGGCATGAGCTATGGTGCAATCTGAAGATAGACAGCAGCTATTTGTGCTGGGCTTGGAGGTGCCGAGGAGAGGCCAAGCTGTGAACCAAGGCTGGCTGTCACTAGTGCCACGCCTGGGGCTACTTAGTGAGTAGTATGGGGCACACCAAGGCCAGATGGTGCTTGTTTGTGATATTTTAGGAAAGTATGAAGCATGAGCCAAGACAAGCCATTTGTATGGAAAAGCCACTGGAAGCAGCTTGGGTGGGCCCTCAAGTTGGGTGGGGTGGGTTCCCAGAGAACCACCAGGGTGGGGTGAAAAGTGTTAGCCAGGTTCATGGAGACTTAGATATGGCACCTGCCTGCTGGCTTTGTGCAGGGAGGGCTCAGCAAAGGAGCAATGGCCTCTGCTAGGACATCTGTCTGGGGAAAAGCTACCCCTCTGCTTTCACCCTGATGCCAGACACTTCAATTCCTCCCCATATGTCTCTGGTGCCGTTTGAGCTGCTGCCCCAGTACTGGAGCTCAAAGCGAGTCCAGGTAGCTTATTTTGCCATGTATAATGCACACCAACATTTTGTGTGCATTATACATGGAATTATTACACACATGGTATGTAATCATTATACGCATGTATAATGCACATCTTTATTTTTCCCCCAAAAATTTGGGCAAAAAAAAATGCACAGTGTACATGGCAAAATATGGTAAGTCCATGTGTGGGCCTTTTGAGAGGAATACCTGGGACTCTAGAGGCCCTCTGTCTTACTCATTCACAGTACCTGATGACTTTTACAGAAAAAAATTATGGAGACTTATCTTCCTGACACTGGAATCATGGGCTTGGGGGCACTGGTGTTGGGCTGTGACCCCTGTCTCCTTAGGAGGGACCTCTTAAGCCTAGATTTTGCTTCCAATTTTTATCTGCTGCACGTGAGTATGGGACCATCTTGTTCCATGTCTCCGCCTCTCCTACCTGTCTGGATGTGGCTTCTTTATATACTTAGTTGTAGGACTTCTGTTCAGCTAGATTTCAGGTGGTTCTGAATGATGATTGTTCTATAGTTTAGTTGTAACTTTGATGTGGTTATGGGCAAAGGCGAGTACTGCATTTACCTAAGCTGCCATCTTGGCCAGAACCTAGAATGGCTAATATTAAAAAAACAGTAAAGGAACAACAAGTATTGGTAAGGATGTGGCGAAAAGGAAATGTAAATTAGTACAACCACTCTGGAAAATAATATAGAGGTTTCTCATAAAATTGCAGAACCTATTGACAATGTTAAATGAGGGCTTACTGCACTATATGATCTCCCCTACATGTAAAATGTTAAAAAAAAAAAACTATAGAAAAAGATACCATATTTGTGGTTACCAGAGTTGGGGAATTGGATGAAGGTGGTCAAAAGTTACAAGCTTCCAGTTATAAGATAAATGAGCACTAGGGATGACTATAGCTAACACTGCTGTATGGTACATATGGAAGCTGGTAAGTGAGTAGATTCTAAGAGTTCTCTTCAAAAGGAAAAAAAAATTCTTTTTCTTTTATATCTATATGAGATGATGGATAGTAACTAAACTTATTGTGGCAGTCACTTCACAATATATGTAAGTCAAAATCTTATGCTGTAAAGCTTAAACTTACACAGTGCTTATGTCAATTATATCACAATAGAACTGGATTTTAAAAGACTTGACATATACATACCATTAAAATAAAGAATTCCGTGTTTCACTTTAGTTGTGGCATATTTGGGTGAAAAGGAGAGCAGGAGAAGCAAATTGTGCCCAACTTAGAAGTGTTGAACAATCATGGTTTAATATTTCAAATTTTTCAGGTTGTATCCACGCCATGCAAGTGCCCTGAACAACCTTGGAACGCTGACGAGAGACATGGCAGAGGCAAAGATGTACTATCAGAGGGCTCTCCAGCTAAATCCACAGCACAACCGGGCTCTGTTCAATCTTGGGAACCTGCTTAAGTAAGTAGAATGTGTTCCTTTGATCAGGTGGCCTACTGATTCCCAGAAATCCTTTTCTTCTCAGCACTTACTTTATTGTCTCCTCTCCCAAAAGTGGAATAATTAGGGATTTCAAGCTTTGGGAAGATTTATTATTCATCTGATTAATTCTGTCCCTTATCAGTCAAGAAGAGTATTTTTCAGACTGTCTTTCTGGAAGTATTAGCTCTAGGAGATATTCATATTGTCTGTAGAGGGGTGGGAATAGGGAAGGATTACATAGTCAAATAAACTTAGGAGATACTGAGTTAAACTACAGATAGTTCCTTTATTGCAAAAATTTCTAATGTACTGAATGCCCTGTGAATCCTCAAGCAGGGAATATGGAATACAAAATTTTCCAAGTCAGTCTTTTTTTTTGGTAGGGCATTTCCCAAGTATTTCATGAACATACCTTGGGGAAAGTGCCAATCTAGGAAAAGCAGTCTCCTCTGCAGGCGTAACCAAATGTCAAAACCACAACTGGCGCCCAGTTCCTACTATAGGTAAGAAGCAAAGGAAGGTATGCCGCAATTAGTTATGATCTGAGTAACTCTCTCTTAGGAAGGCCTCCTGCTCTAATCAGTGGTGATGGGTTTTCGCTCACTGCCCTATAAAAGGTTAATAGTGCAATTAGTATCACGGAAAACTAACACAAAGGGTACGTTTGCATCTTGTATTTTTATTAAAAGGAAATGTTGGCATGTAATGTTGGTGATGGTACTGGCAATGGTAGTTTACCTTCTAAACTTAAAAAATAGGTTGAAAGCATTAGAAGTGGAAATTAAAAGGTAAAAATACGGTTGGAATCAGATTGTAGTGATGTATTTATCTGAACTTGTTAGGATCCGACCATCTCCACACATACTGAATTGGCTTCCATGCCTCTAAACCTCTAGAGCACATTTGGTACCTTTGAGGCTAACGTTGTGCTTTGTTCTTTATCCTTTCCCTAACAGGATTGTCTTAATTGCCTCGGTAACTTGTGTGATGCACCTGCTTCACCACCTGTTTACTCTTTGAATATCACATGTACATACAGATATTGGTACTAGTAAGCTCCCTTTAAAAATAAGGGTAAATCAAATAATTTGGGGGAAACGAGTTCTAATTACTGTAGATAACTAGTTATAGGGTGTTTTTACTTCACTATTTTTATAAACTCATTTCTTTATGTGAACTTCTAAGGACTCATTTTTTAAAGCCATTGTCACAATATATCTGTGTGTTCTAACTTAGGGTCCAAATGACTTCATGTCTGGGTAACAGCCTGTCAGTATTTGAAGAGGCATGGGTAATATAGTACCAATTTCAAAAATAATGGAGATCAGTATTTTCCCCCCAAAATTCAGCTTCAGTGGCCTCTATATGAAATGATGATTCTTGCTAGGAATGGTACCCTGCAGTTGTGATTACCATAATGTGCTGAATGTGCCTCTATTCGAAAATGATGGCAGAAATTTTTTAAAATTTCCTCTTGTCAGGACCTGAACAAGAGAGGTACACGCTAACCTTCCTTTTTCAATTCTCCTGTGATTGCCACTGACTATTATCTTGAATTAGCGTATGTAGGTTAAAAATACAAGGAAATATTTTTTGGAGCATGGCAATGACTACATTTCACAGTAGGAGGGACTCCTGGATACCTAACAGAGGACTGTTTCTCTTTCAGTAAAATCAGCTCTTGATTATTATCCAGCCAACAACAGTGCTTTACATTTTACAAAAGCAGTGTTCTGAGTGCTTTTGGAATGAGGCCCTCCCAGTGATTAAAAGAGGTGGGGAAGAGGAGGGGACCAAGGCCCTAGCTGATCTGTCCAAAGCCATGTTTGTTCATCTTCTGCACTTTCACATTATACCAGACAACAAAGTGGCTATATCTGTATAGATTTTTCTTAGAATCCAGTAGAATAAAATGATAATAGCTAACATCTATGTAATATTTTCTCATTTACAAGTGTGTTTTTATATCCATTATTTAATGTAATCTTCAAAACAATCTATTGTGAAAGGTATTATTCTCATCCCCATTTTACAGATAAGAAAACCACAATTTGGAGATTTCTTCTGACCTTGGCCTAGGCAGACTTTTATCCTGTTCATGTTCCACTACCCATGCTGCTCAAATAGCTCTTATGTCCAAAAATTACCTAATATTTAGCTATGTAATGGTATACAATTTGCTTTTTGAGAGAAAGGTCCTTCCTGTTTTTCTTAAGCAAACAGTAAAGGCTGTTTACACTATGTCCCTCAGTAGGAGAGAGAGGTGACTCACAAAGCAACAGAGCTAATGCGCATTTAGATAATTCCGAGTTTTACTTTTGCTTTCCTTAGTATTTTTCTAAGTAGCAATGAGTCAAAGGTGAAAAGAGGATAAGAGTATTATAAATTTAGTTTGAATTGATCCATTTTACTATTTACTTAAGATTCATACTACATTTATCTCTCATTAGGCAGCTTTTTTATTTCAATCTTCACCTGAGGACATGCTTATTGATTTTATAGAGATGGGGAAGAGAGGGAAAAAGAAAGGAAGAGAAACATTGACGTGAGAGAGAAATATTGATCAGTTGCTTCCCATACATATGCGCCCCAACTGGGGACCAAACCCACAGCTTAGCTATGCGACCTGACCAGAAATCAAACTCTCAGTCTTTCATTTTACTGGACGATGCGCCAACCAACTGAGCCACACAGGCCAGGGCCAGGCAGGGCTAATTTAAAAAGTGTGCCCTTTCTCATAATACAGAAATTAATGCTCATTCTAAGAACTCAAGATATCTCTGTAGATATGAGCAGTTTAGATTGGAGTAGCAATGTGCCTAGGGAAGAAATAGAAGACCTGGGAATTGAACTTAGATCTCTCTGACCCAGGTCCTCACCCTTTATCACCACACTCCACCGCCCCCTTGTGGCTCACCTCAGTTTGGAGGTGCCCTATAGCAGCACTACCCAATGGAAATATGAGAATCAGAATTTGTAATTTACAATTTTCAGGTGGCCATCTTTCAAAACATAAAACAGGTAAAATTAATTTTAATAATATATATTTTATTTTACCCTAATATATCCAAAATAATATCATTTTAACATATAATTGATCTTAAAAATTAATTTTAAAATTGAACATGTAAAAATATTAATGAGATAGTACACATTCTTTTTTATAATTAATCTTTGAAATCCAGTGTATGTTTCACACTTACGGGGCATCTCAGACTACTCATATTTCAAGGGAACAAACAGCCACATGTGGTTAGTGGCTCCTATGTTGGATAGCAAAGACCTTAATTAATGACCTTGACTTTGAGAGAAATGTGAGCCAGAAGTTCTATATAAAATGTGTTTCTTTTAGAGAATCTCAGAAATCTTAATAGTGCTGAGGACAAATTTTATTTGAATTTTAGGAATTTTATGACAGCTTTAGACCTGCTCATAGCAGTAGACTTCACTGAGTGTTACACAAATATATTTGGCCTTTTTCAAGACCCTTTTACTGGACTTTAAAGTTAATCTATTATGAGTCTGTGTAGCAGATTTATAGTGTGGCAGATTGATAACAAACAACTTTCCATGCTCATATTCTTAATTTATATTGTTGTCGGCCTTGTTTGGAACCGAACATGTGAAAGAAAACAGGCAAGATTAGCATAAACTTTTTATGAACAAAAAAAGCAAAAGTCCCTGATGACTCAAAAGAATGTAATAGAATATTTAAATTCATGGCATGGAAAGTATTTCTGTGACTGCTTCAGTAAAATAGTTGCTGGTGTTTGAAACAGAATATGAAAAGAACCTCTTAAAGAATCACATTATACCTCCCTCATTGCCAAAAGTACCTTCCATTCATATGATTAGCTATAGGTCTTACATGGGTGTTATAATAAATCTTATAATCAAAACTCAGAAGAAAATGAAATAGAATGTCCAATAATTAAACTATATAGAAGATGAATTTGAAAACAGCATACATTTTATTTTAGTCCTGCCCTTTAGAAAATTGAATATCTAGAGAATAGAAAATCCCAGAAAGCGTAACCATTATCTTTGAAATAAATTTAAACATTAGTGATAAATTCCCTTAAAGCTTTAATACTAGCTACACCACCTGTTATTTCATAAAAACAACTTTTATACCCTAAAGGTTGTAGTTTTCTCCTTCTCTGCTTATTAACTGAAGCCCCAGAGAATCCAAAATGCCATCCCACTGAATAAAGAAAAACATATTCAGGTTCTTCCCACCACATTAGGATGTCAACTTTGAGTGGACAAGTTCTGCATCCCCCCTTTGGAGTGAAATCCTGCTCCCCACACCACGGTGACCCATTAGTATCCAGGTTCCCTCCAACTTTACTTACCTGTAGTCTCAGCCCTGTTACAGTTTCTCCCCCCTCATCTTTATTCAGCTCACGCCGTCTCTCCCCCGGGCTCTTTCCCACAGCCCTTCAGAAGCCCAGTCCAGCACCTCCCTCTCACATCTCCATCCTCATCACTGCCGTCTCCTTCTCCTGTACATTGTTGCATTGTCCTCGAGGACTTGAGCACCATAGCAATGACTTTCTTTTGCTCCCAACCCATGCTGCCATTTTTAGCAAATGCAGTAAAGTACATTCATCACCTGGTTGCTCTGCTGCCTTCACTCCACAGCCCTCCAGTCTGCTCTGCCTTGGGCATTCTCCAGCATGGCTATGCCGTGGGCTTTTTAATTGTGCAGACCCTTTCATTCTTTAATACCTGAATTCTGAAATGTTCCTCTTGGACCTTAACCTCTTATCTCTGCCCGTCTTTCCATCCCACCCTCTGTCACTCCTACTGACCTATTTAAGACCTTAATGTTGACATGTCTTCCATAATGTTTATTTTCTTCATTCCCTCCAGCCCTGTACTTCACCATTGTTAAAATCTCTGTTCTCTGCGATTGTTATGTTCATAATTTCTCTCTAATTTATCTGACCTATTTTAGTAATGCATGTGAAATCAAC